TGATGGATTTGGGGTTAGGGTTTAAGTAGATATAATTCCGCATGATCAATTGAAATCTGTTACATTAATTTGTGAATATACCGTTAATACTGAATACTGAATAGCGCTATAAAACCATGGTAATAGTTGCCGCGGTTCGTTCGTGGCAGGAGCTGCCATGAAGTGGTAAGAACTACGCCTCAAATTGGGTGGAGGCTAACTCGCCATGGACCACTTGCCATGCGACGGCGGTTAACGGGTTAGCCTACAACTATGCGAAGGCTCTTCTTGTAATTGGAAGATGGCTGTTTTACTTACAATTTCAATAGTGTGACTAATTATGAAATTGTGTTTTTTATGCTAAATAATTAAAAAAAAAAGGAAAAAAAAAATAGTGAGGATAAATAAATTAAATGTGTGTTGGTTAGAATACTGTTCAAGGGGTACCGGTAGGTACCCCTACCTACTCGACACGCAAAGGATGTCTCAACTTATCATTTTCATCGAATCATGACCCAATTCAATGCCGATACTCTTTGCGTCAAAATGGACATGATTGTGCTGTGATTTGCGGCTTGTTTACACCCGCCGCATATAAAACCAAACAAATAATTGGATTAAGTGAACAATTAAATTGCGAAGGAGCCTATTGCTGTACCGGTATAAGATGTAAACAATGATACACATTGAAAAATATTATTCAATAACATAAAAACTTTTAATTTTAAATTAATGTGGGATACCGTAAAAGCAGCTAACTTCGGATATTTTCACTATATTTTATTCAATAACTCTGCCGTTTGTTGTCCAATTCGCATCAAACTTGGAATATATTACATTGATGTAATTCTTTGCAACTGCATATAATTCTCGACGATCGGATCATTTTTTCTGTCTTAATTGTCTCATTTTTTGTGATCTGTAACTACGCAAATAAATATCTAACTTCGGATGGTGAATCCTCTTGTGCGTGAAGACAAAACACGCTTTACGTCGTTGCGTGGAAGCCAGATGTTCAATCCCGGCGCGGCCATTTTAAGTTGTTTTTATACCAAAATGTCTCGTTTTACTTTCTCTTATAGTAACTTTAGATTCGAATATTCAACGATAATGTTTTGAATAGCGTTTTCTACACCCCACACGATATATAGTCGCAAGATATATATTATTGAGCATGCACGCGACCGGATACTTTATTATTAAATTGAACTATTTAAATGTCGGTCGTGCATAAATCACGACAAAACACCGATTTGGCAATTGGCAACTTTATTTAAGTTACTTTCACGCAACGGAACTCACTTGCAACAATTAATGCGTTTACATGGCAACGATTATCGTGCCCAAACCGTATTTTGAGCGAATCGTGTTCATGTGAACACTTTGGTTCGATGGTCAATCATGACTCAGCGTGTTTGCATCGTGATATTCCAGCATATTGCACAGGGTAGGTTAGCAGGCACGATGCTTTCCTCGCACGCGCGAACAGGGTAATGAGAGGCGCAATGAAGAGCGTATTCCTAACGCTGAGCACGATGCGTCACATCGTCACTTGAACACCTGTTGACTTTGATACTAGAGCTAAGATCTGAAGCCCGAAATCGGGTCGGGCCTGAAATGTCAATCATTGTGTTCGGGTCGGATCGGGCTTCTCTATCGCTGATTTTCTTTAAATAAATATATGTTTATAAAAATATATACTAAAACTATGTGTGGAATTCAAAGAACTCCTAAATAAAATGTGAAATTTCGGGCCTGCAAATCCAGTTAATTGGTCGGGCTCGGGTCGGGTCGGGTTTAATACCCACGGGCCCGGGTCGGGCTGGAATTTTTGGACCCGATCTACCCGGCCCGACGATTCTGAACATTGATTTGTTCTCCTGGTTTCAGGTTTGATTTAGACAAAAAATAGACCAATGAATTGTTTTAAAAAAATGTCGTTAATATTGTTGGAACCGAAATGAAGCCGCTTTACAACAAAACTGCAAAATCATCGTGGTTTGATTCTAATTAAGTCAGTAAACGTTAAATAATTGTTCATCGTACATATGACGAACACATATTTACTGAACAGTCTTTACATAGGCATGGTTGGACTATAGATGTGGCAAATAAGATATATATCACGCACATCGATTATCACCAGCACCTAAAAAATAATCGTGCTATTATAAAAGTTGAAATAAGAATAATAAAAGTAGTAGAGTAAAATTATGAGAATTTCTATGATTCGTTATGTCCGATTCAATGATATATATTGGAGCGCGGCAATTATTTCTGGGTATCGTTTTGGATCCATCACCCTTTCAGAAAATATATTTTTTGCTTTATTGAATGTCTTCTAAAACCTATCCGAAATCGTCAACAATCAATTTTTTTCCAAAAGAATGCCATGTTCAAAAAATATTACTCAAAAGAAGAGCATCTTAATATAATATTTCGCCACCGAATTATCGAAAATATATTTGTATACTATATGTGAAATATAGTAGGGAATTTGGAGTTTATTGTTTCGCCATTATCGCGGTTAACCTGATCGTTCTTTCAGATGATAAAAACATGACAGCTCCACATTGCTATAAAAATGCAACTCTGCAAAATTATCTATATCGCGTGCCATCTCACCTTAACGACAAAATATTTATCATGTGAATGACAACGCCACAATATTCTTGTCATTGTTTATCTATGGTAGTATGTTCAATTACGACTACGCCCAATTATATCAATTTACCTCATATAAGAATGAAATATATACAAGTGGGCGGGTCCACTCAGATATAAACCAATACCGAGTGCAACTGCTTTCTCAGATAACTTTTTCCCCCCAACAGTTTGTCCTAAGCTCGTCGTATTTGATGTCATATTTAATTATTTAAATCTGCTATGATGAAATGTGTTCTAACTTCAAATATTTGATTCTCATCCTGTCAGCAATACAACAAATAGTCAGTGCTTGATTTCAACAAGTCAACTACAAATTATTTTACGCCTGCATGAAAAGATAAATGTGTTATCTAAAAGTACTTCATTACACTATCCGACAAATATGAGTCCATTTCAAATTAATGTTTTTACCTCTTGACAAAAAAAGTATTGATAAAACAGTCGGAAATTACCATATTTTTGTGGCCCTTTCACGAATACACTACTACATTTACGGGTTTCCGGGAATGTGGGTATTTAATGTCAATAATTTCTCTCAATCCAGCTGTTATTGCAGACATATTTTTACTTTTGTTTCGGAAGTATTTTTTCAAGAACAAATTTTGCGTTTTCAGATAGAAAATTGGGAAGCATTTTCCTATAATGGCAAAGCTCAAGTTTACTGTCAGAAACGATTATTGCAGCATTTCAGGACGAAAGTGTTCTTACGAATTTCTACCGACGTTGACGTATGCAAGTTAGAAAAGTGCGCTGGGGGAAGGGCACGTGGGGGAATAGAAGTCTGTTACAATGATATATTCATCACTGTCCAATTTGATGTGCGGTTTTATGATATAATTAATCAATCAACCACATACCACTTACGTGAGAATGATACACGCATAAGCAAATACGGCATGTTTACATAAAGTTAAATTTACACGGGACACGAATTAAATGTCAATTTAATTTTTATTTTTAACTTATCGTAAACAGGGCGCTTTATAAGCAGTCTTCCGGAATCGCCTAGATGAGCGACAAAATTTTACCTGCTTGGAAAAGCACACCCAATATCTAACTAAGCCTGGGTGCACTTGGTACAAAGATGACCTTAAGACATTTGACTCCAACATTAAATGCCAACACAATGCTCGTGGAATCCCTGATACGCTATTGCGCTCATCACGGAACCCTAGTGAACAATTATTTTAAAACATCCATCGATGTATAAAAATTAAATATTTGGCCGTTGCAATGTAGAAATCCCACGGTGGAATCATATCGAGTTTGTAAAATATATTATGACATCATAAACGTACACGATCTTCTTACCAATGTATATATTTGGAAATTGCACGCCTGTATGGAATACATTCGTAAAAAGAGGTAAAACTAATTGAACTTTCTGCGCTTGGAACTTTTCACGAGACCTAGTATTGTCAAAAATGACGTCATCCATATAATTATTACGTCACAAATCTTCAAAAATTCCGATACACAATATCGGTATGAAATATTGGTACATATTGGTTAATTTTTTTAGTTATCACTAAAATAGAATATCAGGCCATTTCTAGTCATGACGTCAATGCAATATTGTCTGATGCGCTGCTCTTTTTTCAAATAAACTGTCAAGCTTATCTCTTATTAAGACGTCACTGCAATAGGATTTGCATGCGAGTTGGCAGCTGCTACACATTTCTTTTAGAATGAGTTATATAAATTGGATGATTAATTGCATGCAAAAAAAGTTATAACTGTTGAAGTGAATAACTCGTTATTTCACGATCTACAGCAGAAAAAGTTGCTTCCCCGAATTTATCCCATATATATATATATAGAAACATACCTGGTGAAATAGAGATAGCAAATTTAGGACGCCCCATTTCTCTGGTCAAAAGCCTGGTCCAGATTTTCTAAGACATGTTAAGAAACAACAAAATGCATTGGCAGTGTGCATTGATCACTTTGTTCGAAATTAGTAATTATTCTCACTAGTTTGTTTTTGCCAGTCGCCAGATTATTCGTCAATATTTCTATGATGAAATTTAAGCTTGGCCCAAAAATATATCATTGCGTGTAACATCTTCAATAATGGCATTTCCGCTGTTAACGTTTACAGCCCATTATCGTTTCATAACCTCATGAAGTTTATTACATTGTAAATTCCACTATATTTCTTGATCCAAATAATATGTACATAAGCGCAAACCATAAAACAAATAGATCCATTATAAGTTCAGAAGACAATAACTCATGATACCAAGGTTTGACGTAGGTTTACCTATTATTAATGCTGTTTCGTAACTATATGGAGATGGAAAAAATCAGGCTCCTACAAAAACGAAAACAAGGTTTGAAATTTCATCAGTGTTCGCTTAACAACTGGAGAGACGTAGAATTCAGGTTTAGTACATTGTTTACTAAACACGCAGGCCTACTAATTAATTGATTCGTCGAACTATTTTTCGAAAATTCCACTTATCAAATCAAGGCCATGTTACGCTAAGCGCATTTTCCTTTTATAGCAGCTGAATTGACTTCCCAAAATATCGTGGATAAATTTATATAAATTAAAACTATATCATGGCGAAAGAAACTATTTTGAACTTGATACTGATAACGCTGACCTTATTTTCGGAGGTAAAGGGGAATCCGATTCTAATTGAGGCTGAGGTAGGTCAATTCATTATATATCTATTTCTAAGAAACTATGAGATGTTATTAAGTGCATGTGAATCGCTATTTGTATTGCAAATAATTTAGTAATCACAATAACTGACTGCCCAGCAAATATACCACTAATACAAAGTAAATCTGTGACATGCCGTATAGAAAGTTTCAATTTTAAACTGAAATTAACGGTATTGTATAATTTTAGGTGCCACAGAAGACTGTTGAAACTACACACGGTAGGTATATATGAATTTTGTAATAAATTATTTGAACTAGTTTATAGAGAATTACTACCTATAAATGGCGAATTACAAGCCACACAATTATTCAGTGGCAGATAAGTCTAACTTGACCTAGACTTCAGGTGGCATGCAACACAGCACTATTTGTTAATGATGTGTGCAACTTAAAAAACAAATAATAAACGAAATTTTCAATGTAAGACGCAATTTTAAGATGATTCCTTTGACGCGATATTGAAAATAAACAAAGAGCAAGATGAAGAATTTTATCAGGGGGATATCGTGATGCCGAAAACAAAAAATGCACTGCAGGACAAAACGAAAAGGTAAGATCCCATAGCTTCTTTACACGAATGTTAGAACTACATGTAGCGTAGTTGGGTATTGCAGACAAGTTTCCATGCCCCGATCCATGTCACGACAATTTCAGTCCGCCGAACTCTACTCCGCAAAATTGTTATAAGAATACATTAATAAAGTGTACTGGTCTTCGAAATTTTGAGTTTGCTGTATGTTCATACATGGATAAAAACGCATTTATGTAGATGACAATAGAAAATAATATAATATATAAAGAAAGACCCGCCGAAAATGGAAAATAACAAAATTTTAGATTTCAAAGATGTTTCGTTAATTTTTTTGATCAACCTTCCGAAAAAAATTTCATGAGATTTCATAACAATTTTTCCATTATTCAGATGGAGCACCACAGTTCCGTATGAGATTCATGATCATTTCAGTTACGACCAAAGGATGAAAATCACAACTGCTCTGCGTGAACTCGAAGTTCGGAGTTGTCTAAAATTCATTCCACATAGCACTGAACCAGACTACGTGAATTATGAGATTCAAAACGGGTAACTTGATATGGAATAAAGTAATATTAATAATACTGTATATCGATTCTCAACACAGATATATCAAACGAATTATAGCATACTTTAGTTTTATTATATGCCTTAACCTTGGTAATAATTTCCATACAGATGCTATTCGAATGTCGGCGTTGTCGGAGGGAAACAAACAATATCAATTGGAAGTGGTTGCGACAGCCACAGAACTATTTTACATGAAACATTCCATGCCCTTGGATTTTGGCATGAACAATCGAGGTATTGAATTAGACTTATTAGAGAAAGTAAATATGCGAATATAAAAAGAGAATATATCTTGCCCACAAGAATTCAGTCATCCATGACTAAGTATTAGTACCTTTGCACAGAACTGATCGTGACGACAATGTTCGAATTGTTTGGGAAGTGATCTCTCCAGGCCAAGAGTATAATTTCGACAAATACGAAAGCGATCAAGTAAGTTTGGTTTTTAGATGATTTTCAAAGCCACCTTTATGTACATGATATTCAGCAAAAAAACGTCATAACATTTTTAGATCGATGATCAAGGCGTTCCATACGATTACGATTCCATAATGCACTACTCTGACACTGCATTCAGTGTAAATGGTAGCCGAACAATTATACCATTGAAGTCTGGGGCTGAAAACATGGGAAGAATAACAAATCTTTCAAAATTCGATATACAAGAATTGAATTTGCTTTATGAATGCAATCGTAAGTTTAATATATAATATATTTTGAAAGCTTCATACTGCATACTGTCACAGGCACAAAAGTACCTAGAACTGATGAAACAATATTTGCTAGAATTAAACGTAAAGAGTCATAAAATATATTATTTTAAGAGACAATTGAAAGTGCACCTGGAACAATTTAATGCTGTAACAAACAGTCAGGGTCAAAGTATATTTATCATAAACTAAGCTTACCGGTAAACAGAAGCCACGACTTTCCCCCCATAAAGCAAAGTAGATGTGGAAGTAAAAACGCGGCGGAATATGACAAAGTTATAGGTCAATATCGTAAGTAATATATGAAAACTAAAAAACCAATATTTACAGCAATTTTGGAGGAATCAGGGCACACTACTTGGACATCTTGGTCCCCGTGTGATAAAAACTGCAAAAGAGAACGTCGTAGATTTTGTGATGGAAATCAATGTGCAGTTTGGGGAGAGGAAGAAGTTGAAACAGCGGATTGTGACGTACCGTGTCAAGGTTCGTAACAGCTTCTTCTTGGCAGCAAATATGTTCATGCTATCTTTTGCAGACAATAGTGGGCTGTATACAGTCACTATGTCTCCGTGAGCCAGCATTTCTAACTAGCGATATCAGCTTGGGATACAAAAACCTAACCAGTATCTAATGCAGTGGGTATTCCGTTTACACTCACTAAAAATTAAAATTTCACTTTTATAGATATCTATTACGCATTTTCACGCATTTCGCTTCGAACAAGATCATGTTAAATCAGCTACAGTCATTTAAAGATATGTGGGGACCCATTTAATACCCCCATGGGGAGATAGTGGGCACGGGATATGGACCCGCGAAGTGTAAACTGCGATTTCAAATGTCCAACGCTTTACTCGCGAGGTCATTGTGTTCACAAAATTAAATCGAATCAATGAAAAATGTTCTCAGTGCGGCAATTCATTTATACGTTCCAGTAGTGATTGATGATTTGCCTCCTGCTAAGATATTTTTATATGAGCAGTTTGAAAAAATTATTGCTATATTTCATTATTTTATAATTGAATATTTGTATTCGGTAATATAATATCTTCGCTGCACTTGCCAGATCTTAAAATAATGTTCGCGAGAAAAGTGAGATTCAGCAAAATGTAATTATTAATTCAGTAATTAATCTTCTTCAAAATTGTTTCAAACACTTTTTCATTAAAGTGTGATGGATTTATAGCATTTTTAATTTGTTATTGAGCAATATTGGGCACTTAAACAATGCAGTGATATATATTCAGATGTACAAATGTAACAATAATATAAAATGTTTGAATTTATATCATTATATTATATCATTTATCATTACAATATATTTTTATTTATCATAATTTCAAAAAAATATCATTTGAGCAACATTACCCATTTATCAAACACTACAATCATATTTTTAGATATGCTGATTAATAAATATTTATATCTTCAACAAAAATGTCTTTTATCATTAAACATTATGGCCATCGTAAATCAACCTCTTTATATTAATATTATATTGATCGAAGCATATCGAATGCAAATACACAGAACATTTAATTGTGTTTCACTAAATAGTGCAGTATTTGACGTTCTTTCATAACCTAACCTACAATAAATTAGCCTATACATACTTAGTGAAAAAGAGATGTTCCCAATTTTTTCATTGTCGGGATACGAATTTAATAAAATTTGAAGCCTAATTTGAAAACATTTCAATTTAAAAATTTATGACCGGCCTTTTATTTATATCATCAGTATTACTATAGTCAAATTTTACCAGTATTAGCCGAAATAGTTGCTATTGCTAAAGCTCGATAAACATAAATACTCTGCTCCGCAGATTTTAAAAGCCTTGATTTGATTCTAGTTGTGTTTCTATGTGAACCAGCTTTCATGCGGATCCTGCGGTACAGGGGATCGAGCACGAAAGTTGATTCTTCAGCTCGTAAACGTATCTATTATTTGTCAAGTATTCCATGTTTTGTTCTAGTTGGATACGATATCGACTGTGGCCCGGCGTTGATAACAGGAATGTCTGGAACAGTAGGCTCTCCACTGTTTCCATATAACTACAAATCAAACTCCGATTGCACTCAAACAATTCAAGTTATAGATGAAGCTCGCATTCACCTACATTTTCAAGCAATGGACGTCGAAGATTATGCCGGAGGATGTTACTACGATTTCGTCCATGTAATAATATTTGTTATAAAAAGATATTAGCGATATAGGCATTGCGTTGAAAATGCACATATTAGCAGACTTGTCTATGGGACACGAAACCCGTATGATTTTCGAGGAAATGATGTTAAAACAATTTGTTATGGACTTCGTGTTCATATATTTGAGCATAGCTCTCTTGTTAGTTATAAAGTGCAAATATATTCAGCATTAACAATATACTTCGTGAAGGGGCTGATGCACACATGTATAATAGTTATGAATAAAAAGTTAACAAAGTCCGTAAGTTTTGTTGTCTTGCATGTCTCTTCGTACATGTAGTCCTATTTAGTAGACGCTAAACCTAAATCCCATGGGATGGGATGGGACAGGCATAATTGCTATGGGATGGGAATGAGACAGAAAAATATGTCCTATGGACTAGCCTTCATATTAGTCAATATTATAATTTTTTCTGTAAATTATTCACATTCTCAGGTATATGACGGACAGGATGCCAATGCGCCAAAGATTGGTACATTTTGCAGTACCAGATTGCCACCTATGATTATTTCAACCGGAAATACATTGACGATTAAATTCACTAGCGATGACTCTGTGCAGCAACGGGGATACTTAGCTCAATATTACGCAAGTAAGATTTAAAAAAAAGATTTTTTGTTTGAAATCGTATTGTTGATCGAAACATCAAAAGTTGGATATCGAACAGTTTTGAATGTTGTAAAATTAGGCGATCGTTTACCTATTGCTGTATAACTTTTGTATTTTTTGACTCAAGTCGGATTTTTCGTTACTTCCCAAAGTTCTAATTCCATGTTAACATTAAGCTCAAATCAAATAAACAGCCAATTTGTTTATTCGTAAATGCTTTGGAATAAGCTAAAAAAATATTTGTTTGCAAAAACCCCAGTCGACTGTTTCATATTTTGTCTCATGAATTGCTTCGATGATTTCAAAAATTATATGACGTAGACATTACGGCCATTATAAAGTATAAATTTTTTCAAAATTTTATCTAAACTAATAGCAACTGCGAAAGAACACGTATGTGAGTTCGAAAATCCCAACGATTATTGTGGATGGCAAGACGACACTTCTGTTGAACTGATTTTCAATTCGAACAGCGGAAAAACAGTTTCTGATGGCACAGGGCCATCTGTCGATCACACATTTGGGAACGATGCTGGTAAAGATGCAAGTTTTTGTTTTCACATTATATATCATAAAAATCCAAATCGTATAGGATAAAAATAAATGAGGAACCATATTGCAAAATTACCGATAAAAATGCAAGTGCTATGCTGAATTCATATTATGTTCGTGTTGTTTATTTCAATAACAGTTTACACTTTACATTATATATATATATACTCTTGTTATCACCAGTAGAGAGAAGAATTTTGTTTTACTGTTACTGTTAAAATCAGGCGGTGTTTAACAAGATTCAAAGACATTCAATTTTGTTTTTACAGGGCGCTATCTATTTCTCGAAACATCTTCTCCAGCAGCAAGCGGACAGAAAGCACGAATAATCAGCTCAATGTTTAGAGCGACTGGAAATAATTTCTGCTTCAGTTTCTGGTACAACATGTATGGAATTAACACTGGAACGCTCAATGTATATTTGGTGAGTAATTGATTTATTTTATAACCATATTGCAGTGCCATATATTTTGTTTGCATTTGAATTTAATGAACTTCGTGATATTTTTCCTGGAAAATTACGTCTTTTCTTAGCAGTAACTTTTATTTAAACAGTCGCACAATACTAATTATGTATTAATTCTTAAGACAGTAGTTTCAAACAAGAGCAGTATTTTTCAGTACAATCTTTTTTCGGGTTATTGCGTGAAGTTTTAAGAGCCAGGTTTCTATTGTTATGACATCAAATGCTCAGAAGTAAATTTAAATGGATGTTTAACTATGACAATAAAATGAGTTAGTTATATTAAAATTGCATTTCAAAGGTGGTCAATGATGTATTCACAACTCTTGTGAGCTATTCTGGAGACAAACTGAATGATGATTGGTATCAGTCATCTCTTGTCATCGCCACTTCTAGTGATTATCAGGTAAGATTGTATGTAGTACTTGTGCCCTTGAATTTTTAAAAATCAGTGCGATCATTACGCCTTACCTCGCTATATTGTAAAAAATGTTACTTTGCAGTGCTACGTTAATATAAGTCCAGATACGCGCCTGCAAAAAACGTTCATCAAGTGCGATCCACTCATGCCTGTACAGGTTAAATTTGTTTGTCCAATTGTTACATTTTTTTGTTACAGTTCAGCTTTACCTGGCACCCAGCATATTTTGCACTGACTATCACTTTGATATATCATGCCCTTATTTATTTAGACTTTTCCATCAATTCTTGCTTCAGTTAAAGTGCGACAAGATATACGATTGATGTACTTTTTATATAATATATAGTACATGGATACGTATAAGCATAAAAATTGATTTAAGATATTCATCAAATCTTCAAGACTATACTCTAATTAAATTTACTTGGTAAAGGCATAAAAATATATATCTTATACGTATATTAGATCCATTAATAAAACATTAGTTCATTTAAAATTAATTAATTCAGATTGCGATTGAAGCGGTCAGAGGAAATGGATACCGTGGTGACATTGCTATTGACGATGTTATCCTTGAAGAAGGACCTTGTAAATAACTTGAACAAATGAGCAGTTGAAAGAAGTCTCTGCTTTGAAGTTTATTTCTAAATTTATTGGACCTATAAATAGTTTGATTTTCGTCAGAGGTATAATAGATTGGGCAATTCTTTTCAAGCTCTGTTTCGACTTCATTTCAAAAAAAAAATACCATGATCAAAGAATTTAAAAAGGATTTCCTAATAACACAACTCTGATGAATCTGCACGTCAAAATAATTAAATAACCATAATAAATATATTACGATAGTTATATATATTTTACGATGAAAATAAAATGTTCCTTTTGTGGTGGATCACTAACTATTATATACAGTTTTACTGCAGATTATTTATCCTACGAGCGTAAATGTTTGCTTTCTTTCGCTGACCTCGGGATTTAGCCAAGGCATAAACGAAATAATGTTCAATATGAGCTATAAAACTATTTTTAATGTCTCATGATAATTTTAAGATAATACTTCTGTCATAAATCTCAATTAATTGTAGATATTAAACGACCGAAAAGATTGGCCTGGCACATTCTCGCATCCACACACAGGGCATAAGCGCTGCTCTTGTCATAACAGATAGAATGTGATGTTTTCATTATAAGCATCCAGTCATAATACAGAACCTATGTCATTCACAACAAGCGAACGAACTTAAGATATTACAGTTCAGACACGTGATGGTTAATAAGGAGTACCTTGCCTCATGAGAAGTTGTGACTGTTTGAAATACGGTGGAATATCTCATTATTGTCACTCAGGTATTGCACTTGCGACTCCTGTTGTCGTCTTGTTCCGAGAGTTTAAAAACAGAATATTTCGTGTTAGCAAAAGGTAACTGTCGTGAGAGAAAACAGAATCGTGAAACTTAATAGAAAAAAAAAAATGGATTAATAAAAATCCCTGAAAATTTCATACTGCACAAAAGCTGGCAGGCATAGTTAGCGTCCCGTATCATGAAAATACAGTGCATTGCATTGCAAACCACGGAATTCGAAGGTAAATGCCTTTATTTAAACCAAAATATGATGACGGAAATGCAAGTGTCGTTTCATACTAGCGAAATGGAAATAATGAAAAAAAAAAAACAGTAAAGACTAAAAGCAGGTAACGAGCAAAAGGTTACATTCGTAAAACATTTTTGTAGTTGAAACCTATTTTTCTTGCATTATTTTGGTCCAAGTATATACCAACGGATAATGTTTTTAAAAAATATATGACCTCTATATATCTCGTTCTACAGACTACGTTAGCAAACCAGATGGCTGTAACCTGTAACCAGTTTTATTTCCGTGTATTTATACCGTGGTAATATTGTGTATGTAATAATGTAATATGCATAAAAATCCGAAGTGTCATCCGAATACAATACGCATAAATACAAGACAAATTTTCATTTGCAGTCTTTTAGATGGCGTATAGAAAAATATAATATACACGAATTCAATTTTTAGCAAGTTGTGTTTCAACCGGCGCCAGAAAAATCGGTAATGAACAAAGGTTTCAATAATGCATCATTTTTTTTATTATAATACTTTGCAGTATAATCCGATATGTATTTCCTATTGAGGCACTTTTTAATATTTAAATATCGCACGAGTATGACTCACAACTGCATCCATGACAACCTGCGATTTCATGAATAATGTAAGGGTGCGTGCTGTTTTTCTTTTTAGAAAGAAAGTCAGTGTGTCTTATATAATTGAGCATATGCGGGGCGTTAAGCAATACAAGCTGAGATGACAGAATTTGCAGTTGATGCAAAATTAAGCCATTGTATATGGCGGAAGCAAGTTCGAATCTCTTATATTCTGAAGTTAGGGTGAAGTAGGAACAAGAACTTATGTAAAGAAAATAGGAGTTGCCTTTGCAGAAATTCATACCGCATCCTATTTAGGCAATTTTTTTTTTTAATTTGTGTAACATCCCCGAATGGGAAAGCCTGACACAATTTAGAATATCAGCAATTATTTATATATAAAGCGAGAGAAACATTGAAAACTGTACTGCTATCAAAATTGTTGTTAGATGCTAAGAAAACTGATTCCATGATAAACAAAAAACGGTAGGAGTATTAGGAGGTTTCATTCGTCTTCAAATTATAAGCCTTACTTTCTAGTCTATAGCACCATTCTAGTTAAAAATTTTAAAAACATTCGTAATAATTCGTCCAAATAACAATGACAGATTCCAGTAGTTTGGTGGGTACTGGAACTTCATCCATGTCAAAGTTAATTTCTTTCACCAAGAAGAGACCTTTCAGCGCAAGCAGTAGTAAAAGCGTTAAAAGGAAGGAAAACACAGAAAAGATGAAAGGGACCACAAACAAAACAAAAACGGAGTCTGCTCCTGATACAATGCTTGAACCATTTCAAGAAATGGTCGATGAGATCAATTGGGGCAATTTGGATGGTATGTTCATTTCAGATTGCAAAATTCATTTCTCGTTTATAAGCCACGAGGCGATATTAATCATCGACCTTCACTTGTTACCTATACGCTATTGTTAATCACGTCGATAATTTGAATAGAGAACAAATTTTTTTATTCAGTATTGTGAGCCTGTTAAATATGAGCTTAAAAAAAGATTGACAAATTTTTCCATGAATTATTGATTTCATAACATGGTTGTTCTAGATGCGAACTTTCCTATGGCTGATGTGAGCACGGACAAACCGGTCGCATCCCAGGCTGTCGCGTTCGTCATCCGTGCATCAAGAAGAGGAGTTGTTCCGCTGTGCGCAGAAGTAGCAAATTTACTCAAAGAAAACAGCAAGTACGTTTTCGATTTTACATTTCATTCGACATGAGATATATCAAAAATATTCCACAACTCAACCAACGACTAACATGACTCAACTAACAAATTTTATGTGAATAATCAACACTATCAGTATATTCATATGATTAAACAGCTGCTGTGTTTCAATAAAATTGGTTAAACTAAATACCACATTCAACGGAATTTAATATTCAATTTACACAGAAAGTTCTACTTTAATATACAAAAAATAATCCGAATAATTGACTGGCTCTTACACAAGATCCGATAGGTTTTCATCACGCGGAGAAGCTTATACAAATCAGTGGACAGACTTATAATTTGTATTTTACTTCATTTGACTGTAAAGCTTAATCGGGCTCTAATTATTCTCCCAATAATTTAATCATTATCAAACATAGGAAACACAATAATAAAAAACGATAACGGACATTTAAGGTACAAAACATGCAATGACTAATACCTAATGTTCGTATGTTTAGCTTGGAAGAACTTGTGAATCAACAGAAGCAAATCTTGGAGAATTTAAACGAAGAAGTGGAAGCTCTCAGAAAAATAGCAAAGGGCCCACCACCAGAAATGAAAGATGCTGGTTTGCAAACTATACAAGAAATAGATTGCCAAACCATGACAGTTGATGAAGCTTCTTCTCAAACAGACGTAAGTACACATATCTACTTGTAGCCCACAAAGCGGATAACTAAATCGGTTCATGGTCCAGGCCAGTGGTTTACAACCTGGATTCCAAAGCACCGTATAGGTACCCTCCTCCAGTAGGCTACAGTCCCGGATTCCGCAAGTTGCCATTCAAATGGCAGAGTCTATATTTTTTAAGTATATTGTTTAAATTTATTCAAAGTACTATTAATAAATTTGCTACACCTTAAAGATCATTTTGCTTTGCAGCATTAGATTTTCTTTTATATATATTTATAGTTTCTTCAATTCTTTGTATGTATCTGTCAAAAACACGACCCAAACTTAAATAGTTGTGCAGAAACACCAAGCTCGAATTTCTCATTGATCTTTTATGAGAAAAAATGTACTTTACAGTTTGTTCATTTGTTATAAAAAAAATCCGAACATGACTATTTTACTTTCATTTTATTGAGCAATTGATGTTACTTTGCATAAAACAATTAAATTATTGCACGGGGTTGCTCGACCCCCTGGAATGTTTCATTGGGATAACGTTCCACCAAAACACCACTGTTCTAGATTATAGAATATTATGGCGTCATAGCCTGAAAAAAAATTGTCTGTATAGATTATAGAATATATCGTTTGGTACTTATTAGTTGTAGATATTCTAGTATGGATGAACTTTGTAGAATCTGCCGCGCTACACAACTTCGATTAAAGTTTTTTATTGCTTCAAAAAGACGAATGTGGTATCATTCTGAAGGCACCATAAATCAACAAGCAACACGAAGCTGTCATAGATTCCTTTCAATTGTATCCATCCACATACCAATGATACAAAGATCAAAGAGATTTCGTTTGCGTTTCATTAGCTCAAGTGTCACTTGATTCAACCGCTCGATACCGAAATGTGTTCACGGGCTTTAATGAAGTTTCTCCCTACACCTCATTCGTGCGATAATCAAAACAATCCATCAGTTCATTGTACCGAGTACCAATATAAAATCTCACCAAGCCCTATTATGCAATACAAACGTTTTCTTTAGAAATTGACTATCTCCTGCATCAGACACCAAAATTTGGACGATATGAAGCATGGCAGACAGGATTCATCTTTCAACCACAAGCAACAACCGGATGATAACGAGGTGAAAATTCAATATGAAATATAATCTAGTACGTTCCAAAACATTTTGTGTCAGGATGTGGAGAGAAATTTAGTGAATGATAGAAATTATATAACATTGGAATAACCCTTTGTAACTTTCGAGAAATGTGTCCTAAGGTTAAAAACAAGCGAGAGGAACTAATAAAATGATCCAATCCAAGAAGGTTTAGCATGAAGATTACCGACGACTGAATCCATTTTTAATGGTAATTAGAGAGTACAAAATGTTGCTAAATATTCAGATATGTGGCAAAATTACTGATTCCCATCATTTGTTTGAACACATATATCAAATCATTTTGTTTTGTGTTTTTAATGAATGTTGAATGGTTTGCGATGATTTGTATTTCCCCACAAACTAATATGAATTCCTGTACCTTTTGGTAATTGTTTCAATAAGATCAAAAATTGTCACTAAACTCCGCCAATGTGTTTGGTGCTTTTTGAATGAACGTTTGGTAAAAGGCGCCATTTTAGATACGTTAGAATCCTTTTTTGTTGCGTCAATATGATTCTTATTTTTAGAGGCCTATTTAAAATGAACATAATAGTTTGAACCTAACAATGTTTTTTTTTTATCAAATAGCCCAGCAAAAAGTTTCTCGGACTCGAAACGGGATGCGGAAGCAATGTGGTACTGAAGTGTTCATGTGATCCTTTAGTTACTACAGCGACGCAAAATCCGATTCTGATATCGGTTGCTGTAAACACTGTGAGAGAGGACTGGTAAGTATCTTTTTCGAGGTAACCAAGACTGAATCATCAATAAAATGATTTGATTATGTGAAATATATTTTAAAGCATGGATTCGGCACTTGGCTATTTTGAGCACACCAGTCTGGAAAAAACTCACCGAGATCTAGAAGAACAACATTCAAATCTTATCGAGAAAAATACTAAGATGGAAAACTCGAACGAAGATTTGGATCGTGACTTAAAATCGGCGAAAGAAGAGATTGTGACGCTTCAACGAGCAATACAGGAAATCCAAGTAATTTTTGAATGAAAATATGAATTTAAATACATTCAACATGGACATATGCAAATAGTTAAAAAAGAGGACATTCTGGTCATAATTTTAAAACATTCCTAATGCATAAGTCTACCCGATATAGGGGGGTACATAGAAAAATGTTGTACGAAATATGGCACTTCACTATGAAAATGTAGTTTTCTCCTAAGATCATATTCATGCAAAACTTCACTCGCACGATAGTTCTTTCTGGAAAAACTACACTCGAGCAAATTTTCCGCGTAAGATCGCTCTCTTAAAAAGTGTTTGTGAGCTCGATGACCTCATATAAAATACACTATACACATGTTTGTAATAAATCCAACAACTTTCGCACGTCTAACGATATTAGTTACGATATTCACGACATGACCTCCGCTGATTTGTATAGGTTTGATTCCCAATAAAATTTTGCAATTTTTGAAATATGCATGTCTAGAATAAAGAATATGAACGAGAAAAGGAAGCAGAATTGATGCGGCAACACGAAACTTACAGTGTGGACGTGCAGAACAATTTAACATCAAGTGATGAATATCAGTCACCTCCTCAACAACCTGGATCCAGGGGACGTTTCTCACAACTTCTACCGCTGATAACAGCCGATTCTGCAACATCCTCAAGGTAAAGAATCATAAGTCACACACATTATACTACAAATTAAACTTGTTCAAAGAGCGTCAATGTGTAGAATCATTTCCTGATAAAACGGACATTTCTGCAGAAGTTAACCTACTGGTTGATCTTGAATAAGAATTCAGTTCGACAATTTCCGAAATTTTAGTCAAGCAATTAAAACTGAACCTATGTACTTGTCCACTGTTGTCGATTTCAGCCCTTGGAAGAATGTATAGAACGAATTGTCCAAGCATAATCTGGTGATATAAATTTTCCATTTAATGTCTAACTTGAGAAAACGGTGGGATCGATTTTAAATCAGTCACATTATTTTTAGACCAACGGTGTCTCGAACCAGATCATCTATATTTCCTGGACCAATCCTCGGATGTAAATGTCAAATGTGCACCGCGTTCTTCCGAAGCAGTGGATTACTTGGGTTCGCTTGCAGTCCATATGTTACAGACAGTTCGGGACGAAATCCAGTTTTACGTGACTTGAGAAGACTTGTCTGGCTTCAAAAGTATGGATTTATATATTAGATATCGAAGTTTATGAATTTAATTCCATGATTGAACAATATGATATTTTCTTTAAAACTTAATTGAATTACAGCATACTTATTTAGGTATCTCTCTTACGCATGGAGCTGATGATGTAGTCAGTATTGTATACCTGAATGCAGTTGAGTGAGGGAAAAATAAAAGTAGCTGGACACAGAACTAACTAATGCACTTCAATATACACAGGCCTGTCTATGGGACATATTTTTCTGTCCCATTCCCATCTCATGGGATTCAATGAAAATTGCTGAATTTAGATTTAGCGTCCACTAAATAGGACTACATGTGCGAATAGACATGCAAAACAACAAAATTCACGGCCTTTTTTTATATTCATACCTATTATACATGTGTCCATCACCCCCTACACGAAGTATATTGTTAATGCCGAATATATTTTGCTCTTTATAACTAACAAGAGAACTATGCTCAAATATATAGACACGAAGTTCATAACGAAATGTTTTACCATGATTTCCCGGAAAATCATACGGGAAATACAAATGTGGGCTGTCCCATCCCATGGAACGTTCCTGGGGAATTCCATTACCATGGACAAGCCTGGGTATACAGTCACACATACATATAAGACGTGATAGGTAATTGTGAATATAACTTCTTGCATTCAGTTCCAAGCTGCAGATTCAGCCAAAGGATCAAATAATTGCTCGAAACAATCGTGTAGGAACTGTACGATACGTAGGACATCTAGATGGAGTTGGGACGCCCAGCGTAGTATACATCGGCATGGAATTGGATAATCAAGGTACAAAAATGTCATTCAAAAAATTTCAAATTGATCATAAAAATAAGAATCATAATATTCGAATTTATTACACAGAAGGTCGACACGATGGGTACCTAAATGGTAAAAGATATTTCTTCTGCCCACACAAGCATGGATTATTCATTCCTTTACAAGATGTTCTATGTGTTATAAACCGCAAGGTGGGTTGGTATTTACTCGTTGGTATATACTCATTAAGCTTGAGAGCAGATCCTTCGTTCACCGCTGTTGATGCGCACGCGACTTTCTGTACCCACGCCATCAGGCGATTATCACAGATTGATGAACAAGAACAACCACAACAATTTAGTGAAATTTCGTGTCAAATAATATGAAAAAATGATAACTTGCCAAGCAATGGTTTGAAAATGCTCCACTCGTATATTTAAAACTCAAGATACCGACAATGTCTTTAAAATGAAATATGATTTTAAGAATAAAGATGCTGGCCATTCGCCAAGTTATATCATGTGAAATGAAAATGGTTATTTTTGAAGACATCAATCTTTTAATTAGTTTAATTCAGCATTTCTATTGAACACCTCTATTGTTAGAATTTTATGTCCAAACTGATACTACTTTGGGTAACTTGTGACTAATCTCTAACTCGTGATGCCTGGAAATCTGACATAAAAAAGGAAATTTACAACTTGAAACTCTCAGGTCACGCCACCATCAGCGCATCCGCCAATTCGAGACCGTCCCCCAGCTATAATAGGAAGAGATGGCGCTGGAAAAATTTCACATGTATCAATTGCGGAGTTCGGAAGACGACGTAGACGTAAAAAGACATCCGCAACAAGTACCAGTGGTTCTTCTACAACTTCGGACACCAGCAGTTCAATTTCAACCACAACGAGTGAAGATGAAAAAATTGGAAACTTGAAAAGGTAAGCCATGCGTATACCAATGCATTATTGTCCAATGTGGAAATGTAGAATAAATATTTGTGAGAATCCCCGATTAGGGATGCCACTTTTGGATTTACGAATCGGATCGATTCGAATCGCATCTTTTCCGGATCGATTCGAATCAGATTTACGCGATTCGGAAAAAGAGAGCGATTTAGCGAAAAAAAAAACATTGAACGTTTGTTAAATCGTCGTTTTCGGCGGCTTTAAATTTGCCAGAGTGTGTTTATGCGGCACTCCAAATAACGCCAAATTACGGGACCGAAAAAAAAAACATTGAACGTGTGTTAATTGTTGTTTTCGGCGGTGTTAAAACTACCGAATGCGTTTATGCAGCACTCCAAATAACACCAAATTACGGGACCGAAAGAAAAACATTGAACATTTGTTAATCGTTGTTTTCGGTGGCGTTAAAACTGCCGAATGCGTTTATGCGGCACTCCAAATAGCAACAAATTACGGGACGTAAATAAATGAAAATGAATTTTTCGTGATTGACTTTTTTACTTGTCTGCCGTCATTTGTTTCAAGTTCGACACAACACACTCTTTTACGCATCACTCGAGATGATGTGTGGCGTAATTACCAGCAAACTGCGAGTTCAGTTTTCCACTAAATAGCCGAAGTTTCCATTATGCGCGAATTTAAATGGATCGTATACCTGAAAATTCGTGACAATTTTGATGAAAATTTTCAACAGCACACCTGCGCTGCGACTAAGTTATTGTACGCCCTGGCATGATTGGATAAAGAATCGGCCACCGACGTCTAGATAATGTTTAATTTTGATTGAAATTTAATTTAAACTTTGTTCTGAGAGCAATATTTTGCGTACATTTGAAGAGAACTATTACTGAATGAGTTCATCGGCCGGCAATGTTAATTGACAATCATGTTTCTCATCCTAAAATATATATATATTTATTTTGTTTGCGTTTGTCAGGCTTCCACTCGAGTGGCGATAAACGAAATCAGGGGGACATAATGTAATAGTACATACACGTCTTTTTTCAGCTGTTACAAAAAAAAGTAGTATTTACTTTTAATTTTGTTAGCGCGATACAAGCGAATAAAACATTTCGGATTATTTCGAGCAAATGTCATAACGGACAGGTGGGAGTAAATAATACTTGAGGAATGGCAACTTGTGCACTGTTTTACATCAACACGTGGCAGATTTCATACCAGACCGAGCATACTGTGCGAATGTCGTCTTACTTTAGCCCCAGCGACCATGTCCGATCGAGATAAAGCGTCAACCAATTATCGCTCGTCAGCGCGGCGTCCATTATGCACATTTGGACTTTCTGAATTACGAAATTAAACGTAGTCCACATTAATAATGAAGCCCGAGTTAGCCAATAACGCTGTTAGCCACAAATAATACTTTCTCTAATATTTATGGAAATTTTTGTTCGCAATCGTAGTCGGATGAACGATTGTTTTTATCGAATTTAATTTAATCGTGGTTAATTTTATCGTCTTCAATCATATTCTTGTAAGCATTTCCCATTTATAGTAATTCAGATGCAATTAGAATGTTTTTGTCGTATTACTCTATGCTGCTAGCATAAATATAAAATATTGTACTAAGATTTTGAAGATAAAGAATCGGTAATAAGGCCGGCCTTAATTCAATATAACAAGAAGGGAAATACCACGGTCACATATACTGGTGTGGGACAAGGAAAAGCAGTGCTGTTACTGTGTTTACGACATAACAGTACAACTGTTCCCTGCTTATTTTCTCATATGAATTCCATCAAATTGCCTCAGCCCTGATACAAGTATAACACAATAACTCAGTATTGTAAGACTCACAGATAAGTTGCAACAGCAAGTTTTTCATCAATGCATTTATTAGTGATATCTATGACCTACATCTTTTTTATCATGATGAAAATAAGTGTGGCTTATTCACTGAAAAACCCTTATCATCCTTGCTATATAGCCTATTCCATTTTCAAATTTTTTTCTTCTAGATTTGAGCTTTTTTGTGACTTTGGGCAAACATACGCATGTAATAAAAAAAAAAGCTTAATGGAATCAGATTCGGAAAGATTCGATTCGAAAAGTTTTGATTCGAGATTCGATTCGAAAAAAAATGTATCCAGAAGTGGCAACCCTATCCCCGATTATGAAGAAAAATTATTGGTTTAATTCTAACGTCCGTCTTCGCCGTTTAGACGCGAATTTAGCTATGACCACAAACATGATACCACGCACAGATCGAATGAAAATAGGGGGATTACTTTCAATATCAAATCTGGGTTTGTGATCTGTGGATCAATCTTGGCTAGTCCTGTTGTTAGGTTGCTTGCTCAAAGTTTCGTCGGATTAAATGAACACGATATGTGTTCACAGAGACACCTGTTTACAATATTTTATATTTTTTCAGGTTTCCCGAGCTTGTCGTGAGTTAGCAACTGCTGATACAGAAGACATATGACACGTCGCTATACCTCACAGTGAAGATCCAGTGCAAACTTTATAGACTTTGTATTTCTTTGCATCATTAACTACATTTATCACTTTTTCTTTGTGAAGTGAAATATTGAGAAACTTTTAAGATATATTTGACATATCGCTTGAGAATGTTGATCACTTTGCTCTATTGGAATGGATTTCGGTTCAATTGCATCTCCATAAGATATCGCCATTTCGACAATTTTATTAACCTAAAATAAACCAATATCATCACATTTTATTACCATCACATTTTAAGTTTTCGGCTTTTTATATTCAGAAAATCTTACGTTAGTCGAAGCAATATTTTTCCGAAAATAATTTGCGTATCCAGAGTTTTTACTGCATTATTATAACATAAAGACGGGCGGCGTTAAATTGCGTCAAGTTGATAAAGCACAAGAGTATTCGTCACAAGAGAGATAGACGGAGTACAAATCAAACGCTGAGTCAATCACCTCAGTGTGGAGGAAAGTCAGAGGCGAAAGGAATGCGTCTAAAACGCAGTTATAACCGCACAATATTCAACCACAATCAAATATTCGCTGACGTGGTTGGTTGCTGTGCGTCGCACGACCCCTCACTTACGACAGAAGTTGCGGTGCTGCTTCAATAAGTTTCAGCCAAGGTTAAACACATATCCACAAAATGATTGGTGAATTTGTCGCCATGTTTCTTTAAACATTGAGGTTTCGTCCACAAGTCTGACACAGGTAGCCCTAGTGATTAGATGAAATGATGCTTTAGGTCAATAGGTAATATTTATCTGAATAATTTTGGGAAATAGCACGTGGTCAAGATTAGAATGAAAAAAAGTATGATGTGAATTCTGATTCAGACATAGGCCTACTGCATCACATGCATATGGCGTAAGCAGGTTCGGCATGTTTCCTAAAATAAAAAGCGTTCACGCCATCCTAACATTATGCAGAATGTCGCCATGGCGATTTGTATTGTTCGTGAGGCAGATCTCGTCAGATTAATTGCTTTGTTGTCTTCGACGTGTATTTTAATTATGATCAAACAACAAGTGTTTTACAATGTTATAAGTTGTATGGACAACAAAGAAAACACGATCGCGAAATCCGATAGTTGTAAGACGCCATTACATTCTTGTCAACAACGGCGTGGTAAACATTTTGTAACGCATCCGGAGACAGCATAGCTGAGAATGGTCTGTTGGGTACATAAAAGCACATAACTACGGGCCACAAAACAGTATCATTTCGGTCTCCGGCATTGCCGTACTTCTGTACTTATTGTTTATGTATTTCAGTTTGAAGAATAATTAACGTAAGAACAAAAATTACTCACGATTTGGAGGAAATGCAGAGGGGCAAGTCAGCAACCACCAAAGTTGGTCATGGACTTAGTTTGATGTCCAATTTGACAAAACTTCGCAAAAAGCAAATTCTGTGCGACTTCACCATACAAGTCGATTCAACTCCGTTTCGAGTTCATCGAACAGTATTGGCGGGTTCTTCAAAGTATTTTCGTCGTCTTCTATCTCGAGATGTTGATGAAGGTATAGTTTACATCAGCGGTATAGAACCGGATGCAATGGAAAGATGCATTGAATTCATGTACTCCGGCGAGGTAAATGACATTGACGTACAGAATTCGGAGAGATTACTCAATGCAGCCGATCTTTTACAGTTAAAAGAACTAGTGAAACTTTGCTTTACACACCTGGAAAACAATATAAATTCAGAGAATTGCTTTTATATTAGAAACGTAGCTGCGGTTTATGAAAATAGGGAGCTTATCCAGGCACTCAATCGTTTCCTCGTTCACAACATTAAAGACATAGTTGAAACCAAAGACTTCCAAGAGCTTAGCAAATCAGACATGCAGCAATACATACAACTGTGCCAAGGCTCGGTGGCCGACAATTTCTGTCATATAAGTCCTACCAGAGTTTCATTGTCAGCAACCGCCAGCGATATGAGAGCTAGTAAGATTTTTCTTTCTGCGTCGTGTGGACGGAAAGTGCGTTCTCGCTCAAGTGGAACCAAAACTCGCAAACGTTTATCCGCCCCAAGTTCACCAATCCGTGCGAAGACCCTGATTTATTGGAAAGGCGTTATAAACTGGATCTCGCATGATATTGATGAAAGAGGAAAACATTTGTTTGAACTGGCAAATTTCATTAATATGACAAAGCTTTCCGTCAGTACCCTTTCTTTTGTGATCTGGAACGAACCTCTTATACAGCTATCCACACCTTGTAAAGACGTAATTGCGTCAAGAGTTCTTTCGAGTACTCAGCAGCTCAAGAACGGTATCAACTTGCAAAATTGTTTCAATATGTACAAAATAGCGACAGGATATCCCCGCGAAAACTTCAAAGAGAACATGGAAGTCATCATAACGTTTATGGTGACAAATATCAAAAATATTAAAACAAGGACCGAAATCGAGCTTTGGAGTAAAGATGAAATATGCATGTTCATTAAGTTTTCAGAATGTCTTGCGCCAAAAGAGCAGGATATTTGGGAATTGGCACTGACATGGTTTAGACACGATAGTGAAAGAAAACACTGTTCGTTAGAACTCCTTCAGGCGTTATCCGTGCAAAAAATGTCCCCTTATTATCTTATCGAAAGTGTTTTGAAGGAACCCGCCGTGAAGGAATCGTCATCGTGCGTTTCGCATATCATCCAGGCGGTATTTTTTGATACCAAAAGTCTTGTTTGGAATATTGACTTAAACACATGCTTTACTCTGAAATACCTCGCGAGAACCTATAAAAATACGCCATTTGGTGCGATTAGCCAATATGTTCTATCATTTTTCATCACTAATTTTTTAAAGATTATGGAGCAACCAGAGTTTCGGTGTCTACTCTTCGAAGAAGTGTTACATCTCTGCAAAATTTTGAAAAAACGGAACATTCACGGTGAGGCAAAATGGACTGCAGTGATGAAGTGGGTGAAATACAAACCGGAGGAACGAAAACATCATCTTCCTGCGTTGCTGAGAACAATGAATTTTGAACGGTTATCTTCAATGTTTATGAGAGAAACTGTACGCCAGGAGCCACTGATACAAAAAATACCGGAATGCAATAAAATAGTTACGACTGCGGTGTATGACATGCTACCCTAATGCTAATCGTACAGAAACTTTCCCGAAGCCATTGCTTTCCTTTTATTGAGAATTGGATTATTGAACAGAGCTGCAGCAATTCTCTTTGTCGAGAGACGTGACAATTAAAATGTCTGAGAACGGGGTGTTGGGGAAGCGGTTAGTAACGTCATCTAATTACAGGCCACAACAGCCAAAAAATAAATTATAGAGATTACAGACATTTCATCAATTATACCGGACATATATACGACAAAATATAAGCTTCATTAGACCAATGAGCGAAAGCAGGCCTGGATAACGCTGGTAATTTTTTCTACTCAATACGAGACATGTCGCGTATATCGAATTGATTTTTTTCTAGCTCGTTAGATGTGCTATAAATACGTAAGTATAATAGACGAATACTGAAATAAAATCATTCCATTCTTCTGCTGCGACTTTTACTAGTCTCTTTTATTGATTTTGGTGTTCGTTTCGCGATTCTTGTTCAAAATTGGACAAATAAACGAGATCAAATTACTTTCTGAACATCATTTTATTACTGCCAAAAATATCTGTACTGAAGAGACGATCCGCACCTGCTATGCACACAGTAATAAAAATGCCAGTCTATTTTCTGGTTGAAAGGGGAAGCAATTTACCAAAAAAGTATTTTTCTAATTTCTAATTAAGGCCCAACCTAATGGGATTAGCAGTTTCCAAAAAAATTTACAATGCGAATTTATTCTATATTCTGTACTGGACAAATGTATATACCAAGTTTCCAACACTTCCAGCAAATATAGGTGAGACTATTGTAAAATCCTTCTCCAGATTGTGATAATAAATTGCCTAAGATGTGAATATAAATATTTTTACCTACTTATTTATAATATTTAAATTTCATATGTTGCAATATACATGCAAAAAGCGACCCAATCTAAACTGAAAAGTGCATAAACTATGAAAGATTATATTTGAGAATTGTTTCAGTCACAAGATTATTGCAAACACTGGCCAAAAGGATGGAGTATATAAAATACTGGAACAATATCGAAAATCAATAAACTACATTGTACATTTTTTATTCTATCCAGTCCGTAGCGAAAGTAACTAACCATATTGCGACCCCAACAATGAACACACAGGCAGATATGTTGTCGCACATACAAATTTTAACATAGAGATAAAAACAGTCCCACAGTCACCTAATTTTCAGTTATACTGTATAAACCCCAATCTCTAAAATACAAGTTGACAGCAACATGCATATATTTATCCACACATGCTATAACACACAATGAGTAAATATTGCAGAAAATATCTGAGAAAAATACTGAAAAAAAATCTGGGTTAAGGCTGCAAATAATAGTCGTAAAATAAACAATCAATTCCTCACCCCAGCGCGACGATTATTATTAATGTAATTACGTGTCAATCATTTTTTACATTCATTTTTGCAAAATTTCGAGATTTACATGTTGAAGTAAATATATTAAAAATATAGTAATCTTTGCTAATAAAGAAAAGCTTCAAAATGAGATGGTCACAAATTACACAAGTGACAATAGGACAGGGATGTCCAATGAATTCATATTAACAAATACTTGCAATTTAAAATTTAATTCAAATTGTTTTGTTCATTCGTTTCACCATTTCTTCAACTAAATTACCAATACCAAAATTTTTCTCTGAAATAGATTGACATAAAGTATCCAATTTAGAATTATTTATATTATGAAGCAAAATATGACTTCACTGCTGCCAGAGTATTCGGACTTGGACATCCCTAATGTGATCATCATCAAAAATTTTATTGTCAAAAACAGGGGGGAAAAACTTTCAAGAAATTTCATTGATATTAATCAGATAGTACTATAATGCATATCGAGACCCGGCAGTTTGATCTTCACTAGTTGAATCATCGCTGTTCTCATTCTCTTGAGTTTTTTGTAAATTTGGAGCTCGAATATAATCAGGTCCTTTGGTCCCGTGAACAACATCCTTATCAACACATACACCAATAATGTCACTCCCAGGCACTTCGTACATTGCCTCAAGTAACAGTTTTTCCTAAATGAAAAAAGATGAGGAATTTTTCTGATCCACTTCCATGTATATATAGTGTTAGTTCGGCTATTAAATAGCGCCGTATAGATATGGATAGTGGTACACAGGTCAGTAACTTTCAAGCAGTTAAATTAAACAAGACTGTCTCACAAGTCAAGAGTGAAAACAGTTTGAGTGAGAAAGTTATTAAAAAAATTATTGCTTGAATTATTAGGTTTCTAGTTGAGAAAAATAAAAATAATTAACAAAATATTTACCAACTCAAAAATTATTCATCTTATACAAAACCTACCATCATTGATCTCAATCCTCTTGCTCCAGTTTTCCTTTCTAATGCTTGATGAGCGATCGCCTCAAGAGCACAAGGTGTGATTGCAAGATCTGCTTTATCCATATTGAAGAGAGCCTGAATTATGTAACAAATTTTATAGCATTAGATTTTGAGGTTTTCTGTCAAGAGCACACCTGAAAAGCTGGGATATTGCGAACCAATTTTTTTTATTAAAAAAGTCAGATTGTGGTTCTCAATGTAGTAAGCCCTTTCAGAATGTGCCCATCGGAAGCACTTGATATTCAGAGATTTACCGTATTTATTAGATTATAACGCGCAAAATTTTGAACTGAATTTTAGGCAAAAATCAATGCTGCGCGTTATACACGAGGTCTGAGAAATGCGGTATTGAAAATGTGGTTTTAAACATCTGAAACGTGCGTGCGCTCGCGCATGCACATTCCAATGCAGGACGATTTCGTGCAAGCACACGCACATGCGACAGCTCAGCGTGCGTTTGACATTCGTGCAAGCGTTCGATTTCGTGCAAGCACACGCACATGCGACAGCTCAGCATGCGTTTGACATTCCCGCTGCGTTGAGAATATTTATTTGCCATTATCGTACTGTACTGTGGATACCCATTATATATTACCCATTATCTATTATGGCAAGACAAAAACGTTCTGCATATAGGGCTGCATTCAAACTGGAGGTTGTTGATTATGCGGAAACTCATGGAAATAGAAAAGCTTCTAGAGAATTCAATGTACCAGAGACAAATGTCAGAGATTGGAGAAAGCAGACAGTTGTTCTAAAAGATATTAACAAAACAAAGAAAGCGCGGCGAGGGAGACAAGCCCGGTACCCAGAGTTGGAGAAGGAGCTTTATGATTGGATAGTTGATCAAAGATCTAGTGGGTACATCGTCACTTCGCTCCATATTAGACTCCGTGCACAAAAGATTTGCAAAGATTCAACCTTTAAAGCATCTAATGGTTGGGCACAAAAGTTTATGAGAAGGCATGGACTTGCACTACGCCAGAATGGGACACTGATTTAAACATAACCCAAACAGAAATCGAACAGTTGTTTGGTGAATCAGAGACTGAATCCGATTTTGAAGAGTTTTGAATTACTGTGTGCTTTTAATAAATTTTTGTTCATGCTGTGAGTTGTTACCTTATGTGCTTGTTACCTTATGTGCTTACCAGTAGTTAGTAGAGAAAAAATGAAAAAAAAAATTTATACCAATTTTCATTCAAAATTTAAAGGTGCGCGTTATACACGAGTGCGCGTTATAATTGAATAAATACGGTATGTATTTTCATTGAGCTTGTCACTTGCAAGATGGCTATATAGTGGAATTCCTCAAAAATCACAACATGCTTACAGCCAAAGTAACAATGGGCAGATGATAGATAAATGTGTGGCACTAATGAATCATGGCAAATTTTTTCACATCGTTAGACAAGCACATACACATATACTTTGGGAAAATCAATAATGTAAATATCTGACTGAATATCATAGAACTTTTATGATCTTGTAAAGTAAACTCCAAACTACAGCAAACAATATACAAAAAACATACCTGAAATTGTTGAACAATAGCATTTTTCGGTTCAGTTAAAATAAGCATTAAATGTTCGGCAGTAAGACTATGAAGAGCCACAGTGATTGGAAGACGGCCGACAAATTCCGGTATCATTCCGAACTCAATGAGATCCCTGCGAAAATAATAAAAAAAAAAACAGTTCCAATGTGTCGAATTGATGACATGGTCTTATAAGTGTAATAGAACTCTCGACTTTGTGACGACTAAACGACTTTGTGGTACAGAAATCAGAAAATTTGGAATACAACATATTTCCATTTTAAAAAGAGAAATTTTTCAGGAAACAACGATATATAATATTTGAATTTACAGAACTCTATACAAACTTATTTCTATTGTTGTTTAAACTAAGTATTCATATATCCTAATTTCTAACAACAGATCACTGAACAATTGTAAAAACATCGAAAACCATAATTACCTAGCTTCAGTTTGTTGTAGAAGTTCATCTCGTTCTAAATTTTCTTGCAGTGTTGTTGCAACTTTCTGTTCAAATCCCAGTTCAGTTGCCAATTCCTCTAATTTGGACGGTGATGATGAAGGTTTATGTGAAAAACCTAATGACTATAATATAAACGAATATCGTAAATCTTAAGACTAAATCAATGTGACTATAAAAGTGAATAAGAACAAAAAAGGGGGAGCCACAGAAAAACGGGAAACAAAAAAATTTAGGGCATATCAAACTGGACAGCTACACCAGCTACACATTCATAAATTACGGCGAGGCGAAAATCAAAATGTTACTTCATTTTGCAAATAGCAATAAATAATGTTAAATATTAATAACCACAAAACCTGGTATAAAAATGGTATTGTTTGATTATCAATTTATTTGATTTACAATCGAGATCATTGAAATGAAAGTTACCGTTAGTGCCATTTCATTTTCGAATAAACATTTTGAAAATTCAGTGGAAAGAAAAGAAAATAAGTAGTGAGGCAATGTGCAGCAAATGTTTGTCACTGATAATCGTATGTAAATATAAAACACTTGTTTGAAGATGCATAACATAACATCATGTAAGTTATTTAATGACAGATGAAAAATAAAAAGGGCCGCTATAATTGAACATTACAAATGAAAAATAGATTAAATTAAGACTCATATCCACCTTTTCGTTTTTCCTTCTGCCAACAATTTTATCCAAACCATTGAAAGCACCTGATGCTACAAATAATATATTAGTGGTATCAACAGCAACAGATTCTCCACGTAGTTTTCTTGAATTCCTTTCCGGTACGTTGACGATAGTTCCTTCCAACATTTTCAGAAGACCCTAAGATAATAATCAAGATTGGGGCGTAAGCAGTGGTGAGATTCAAATTTTTTGTCAGCCGGTTCTACCATACAAATGTCAAAATTTCAGGCGGTTCTGTTACAAAAAGTCATGTAATGCTAACCGGTTCGCTGATCTCATCAAATTCCGTGAGACGGTTCTATAGAACCGGTGCGAACCGGCTGAATCCTACTACTGGGCACAAGATTGTGGGTAAAGTGTTGGACTTCACAATGTTGGTATTACAGGTTGAAAATTAACCACCAACCCACCACATCGTCTAGGGTGCAATAAATTGGACAGGTAATGACAAATAAGAAAGATTTCGGCCCTCACAAGCTATAATAGCTACTTACCTAATGGTGGAAGGAAAGGTGTGTAAAAATATTTCAAATATAATAAACAATGCAAAAAGTCAAATTTAATATGGTAAATTTAGCATTTGATATGATAAATTTAATGTACATTTGATACATTTAGATTAAAAAAGAGTAGGGTGGATCACATGAAGTGGAAATCCAAAAAATCCTAACTATTTTGATAAACCCTAGTAAGATCAATCAATTACTTCCAACGACAACTAACGTAATAAGCTAGACGTCCAGTACTTGCACGTCACAAGTTACTTATCATTTATTGTAACGCAATATAATGTAATATAAATATCTAGTCTACAGTCCACTCGTTTACAGTCCACTATCAATGTTGAATTACATAAAAAAAAACGAAAATACATTGAATACTATGAGAAATGCTGAACTAAATGATTGTATATGTGTTATGGAAAATGTTTGAAATTAGGCTGTAAGCAAGAGATATTTAAAGTCATAATTCAAACTTTGAGTGAGCGCAGTGGCCTTGTGTTTGGAGTGTTAGTCTTAACAATGGCGACATGGCAGGTTGAAACTCAGGCTCAAATAACATGCCCACCACCACACCATGGTTATAATAAATTGGGTACTTTGTCCTCCCAAAATAAAATAGCTACACACAATACAAACACCAAATCAAATGTACAGAAATATTAGAAATGCTTTTGCTGGACTGGTTTCTTAATTGTTTCTATGTTTTGATTTTGGGTGATGGCAATGCAAAAACGAAAAATAGCCAGTTTGAAAAACTTTATTCAAAATATAACAAGTTTTGAATGTATTCAAATGTATGTATTCTCCTAGGTATCACTGAGGATAAGTATTCGCGGAAACTTTGCAAATAACGACATATCACGAACCTGTTGAACACCTTCACCACCGACATCACGTAATTGATGAACACCAGGTACACTTCCTATTTTATCAACTTCATCCAAAAATACAATACCTGATATAATGAATTTTAATAAAAAATTTAATAATAATATGTATTTATTACGCAAAGGTGTGTAGTTCAATATTCTTACATAAGAGGAAGTTCTAAAATGTAAACCATCATACTACAGTTACATAACGAACAGCCTTAGGGTATAGAAGCTTGTCAATGTGACTGTGAAAAGATTAGGTCTTAAATTACTATCATTGAGGACATTTTCTTCTTTATCACCTCTTTCTTATATAACCTTGCAAGGACTAATTGTTATATAATCACAAATAAAAATATAAGATTGAAGAATAGAAACATTACTCATGAATTGTTTATAAATAAATAAATGATTTCATCACAAAAATGAATGTCTTTATGAACAATATTTTTGAAGTTAAAACAGGAAAACAAAATCAATCAAGAATTCTAGCACAGTTTTAAACAGTGCTGCCTGAACACTCAACACGATAACTAAAATTTAGAAGTAATTATCTAATTGGAGGTTGGCTTATAAGTTATAACTATAAATTACCAATTCATTGATCGACTCATAAGTACTGACATTAATTGCTAAGACTCCAAAAATGTGCTTACAAAGGCAATAAAATCCTATACTTGGCATTGTGAAAAAAGTTATATAACAGTCCGAGTAAAGAAAGGGTAATTGGCAGGTTTCAGACATACATGTTAGTCAAATAATAGACTGATAACCTCAGATATTGAGCCAAATAGAATCAGGTAATATTGAAAAAGAGCAATAGGTAAACATCAATCTTATAATCAAATAACTTACTATTTTTTTCTATAGATTTACATAACATATTTGAAAAGCAATATTACTAAACATTTAAGAATTTTAGAATCAAATCAAGAGTATTCAAAAATGATGTCTTGCTACCTTGCTGTCCTTTTTCTACGTTTCCGTTAGCATCATACAAGAGTTTACCAATGACTGATTCAATATCTTCACCAACATAACCAGCTTGTGTTAACGTTGTACAATCGCAAATTGCAAACGGTACATCCAAACAACGAGCAAGTGTTTGAGCGAGCAGTGTCTTTCCTACAAATAATAAAAATATCTAAATGATTCGAGCTTTCAGAGTGATGGTTGGTGTGAAAACCAAAACCGTCCGTAGTTCAGAATATATGGATTATACAAGGCATATTGATATTGGACAATACTGGTTTTTCCATGGGTAAAAATATCAGAATCGTTAGTAAAGAAAGATTATAATGATAATGGTAAAAAGTAAAAACAATTACATTTTAGACGCATAATGAATGTTTCCCTAGATATCTATTTCCTTGTATTTGTGTAGGCTATTTATGTAACAATGATCAATTAGCAATAAGCCGGTATTGCAGTCGCTTAGACACTTTTCCATGCAGACAGATTTGCAAAATGCAAACTGTAGCTCAATTTGCATGTTATTTTTCAGATTTTAGTTGTGTTTCTGAAAATTAGGTATAATTCAAATGTCTCAATAGTCCTTTTCTCCTCTGAGGAGTTTTTGTTTGATTGAAATAATAAAAAATCAGTCCTGAAAAGGCTGTGATAGACTGGCTGAAATTAGCCATTGATACTTTTAAATGACAAGTGAAAAAATACTATGAATCACAATTATGTTCATGAACATGTAAATCAGTATATATGTGCCAAGTCATGAAAACAATCTCAAAATAAGCATCCGAAATTGTACAATGGCAGAGTATAGGAAGAATTTTTCTGGGATAAAAAAAAGGGAAAACATCCTTTGTTAACAAACACTTCTACACTTAACAAAACAAAATACAGATCTAATAATACTATATACCTGATCCAGTTGGTCCGAGCATCAAAATATTACTTTTTTCCAACATGACTTCTTGATCTTTATCATTTTCTATAACTTCTGCTATCGCTTTAGGTTTCACTTTTCCTCCCCCGCTGGTGTTTTCATTGAATAGTTCATCTCTCATCGAACCGCTACCAGGGGGTTTTCCAATACTGTTTCCAGGTAAAATACCAGCCATATGAAGAACATCTGAATAAAGTATAATGTAACAATAACATTAGGACAAAGCAGTCATATTTATTCATTTAATGAAACAAATGTCGACTGTTCTCCTTTGTTACATAATGTAAAACTAGGAGTATCAAGAATGTAATAAAAAATATTATCGGATCTTTTTTGAACAACACCTGTCTCAAATACTATAAAGAATATATTATGATCAACCTACTCTTGTATTTAGTAATATTTGTTCGAATCAAGGTCACGAAAACTCACTCAAAAATTGAAGAGAATGATCCCTGAGTTACAGGTGACCACTATAATACTGAGAGCTACTGACACTATGACGAATTATAATGTGAGAATGCGAGTTAGTAATACTTGGGAGCAGTGAATGTCAATACGAAAATGAGGTAGCAAATTCCAGATATGGTAACAGTTTACATTTAATGTCCAAAAATAGTAAAATATAAATAAAGAATAACATTACAGAAGAATCACCATCACCAATAGATTATAAATTGTATTAACATTTTCATTATTAAGATTAATAAGTAAGAAGTATGTCTGTTGTATATCATAAAAAGTTCGCGTGACATTGCTATGCATCAAAAATATTGATTCAACCATTCTAGAACACTTTAATCCAGAGTTCAACCAAATAAATTAATCAGAAATTCAACACATTGTTTGAACATCGTTTGACAACGTAAAACACTTTTTCCTGTTATTTGTTGTCATAAAAAAATTTTTTTTTTATAATTATTGCCAAAGGATTTCAATTACGAGGATTAGTTGTATCACTATGCAGTCGTTTACTTTTACCTTAATAATGGGACACAGGCTAAGTATACAACAATGACGTTCTAATATGAAAAACATTATGGTAGCTTTGCAAAATTTCAATTTCCATAATCTACCATCGATCCTTGTAATTTAGTAAGAAGAGGACATTTGTGGCTAATATTACAAAATAAAATATGATTTATCTATAATCTATATTATTTCAGAGAAATATATGAGCATTTTAAATTGCGCTGACAAAATCAAACATACAGTATACGAATACGGTACCATAATATAGAACCAGATTGGTAGATAACTTCTGAGAACAGATTGGGTAAGAGACTCTATTGGGTAAGAAAAATCTAACAAAAAAGAAAATGTCACTTGATCCCCGCAACAACGCTTTAAACATAAAATCAAGATAAATGAAAATATCTCTGTCCTGCCTTTATCACATACATACACTGCACACTAAATACCAGAAAATACAATCTATCTGGAACATAACTGACGCCAAGCCACAAGGAACTTCAACAAAGCTGTTACATGTTCATCCTATGGTGGAAAAAAATTCTAGTAAGAATTGATTCTAATCATGAATACTCAGACCAATCTGTAATCTATTTCTATTAATTTTACTTGGAAATAACCATAGCACATCAACCATAGCGTCTGCATAATTCTAACTCATAATATTGGATATCTATATCTGACAGAAGCTACCAGATACATCTCGACTCTCCTGCAAGTTCTAACCTGACTTCACTACCTATCTCTCACCATTTCTTGTATTAACCTTCCTTCCTCGTTTTCTCCTCTTGAAAAATGGATCAGAATAAGATGCTGGCAAAACAACCAAATATTTTTAATAATGACAACAATAGTTTAAGTCTGTTTTGTATAGTATAATAATAATTGATCATGAATGGTACCCAACCAATTGTACAAAAATGGTGGCAACCAAACATTAATCTAATTTTGTTTGCCGAAACATATTATTTCAAACTCTCTTGTTTATATGAGATTCCTTTTTTCTGTATTTTCAAATCAATTCAATTCTAGCTGTTAATAATTTAGAAATATTTTCAATTCAGTATAATCTTGACAAATAATAGGTGTGCACAATAGATATTGTACAGTCATTGATGCTGGCCATGCCCAATGAACTAACTACCTGTCCTCGCTTGAACCTGTCATGTTGTGACAGCGAGGTAATCCTGAAATCGTTAGATATTGAATGCTACACCTCCCAGTAAAATTAGTATATAAATTGTAATTCAGCGCATATGCAATATTTACTAATACTATATGTACATTAGCAGATATTAAATTGCTGTTTTGATTCCTTTTATATATAACCATATTGAGACTTTACTTATGACGTCATTATTAATAATGTGTGGAATGAAGAACTGTTAGCATTGTGAGTCGTGACTGAGTACAGCATGGAATATATAGTAACTGTGTTTTTACATGTTTTGAAGACTGTTACAACTTGCTGTATTTACATTCTAGTATTGCACTGAAAATACCGGCATTGTAATTTTAATCCCATAATTAATGATAAGTTTAATGATATTATGTGAAGCCTATCTTCAGATCTAGAAAATATTTCTTCAACATACTTTGTTACCGATATATAGTATTTGATCTGCAGAAATTTACATTAGCTTATTATGGTGAATGTAAAATGGTATTTAAGTTGTGAGTCAAACTAGTTTATAAACAAAACCAACTGGTTGTTGAAATTAAAATCAATGTGTTGTGATTATTAGCTCGGTAATGATTAGTGTTTGTATTGCACCTAGGTGTAGATCCCAATCTACATCATAAACAGACATGCAAATCACTCATTGAAACTATTAACATTCTGCTTTACGATAGAGACTACAATACTGATTTTCGGATACAGCATACAACAACATACTAGAAAAAGACATCGTTCTCTATGTTTTAGCTTTTTTCAGCGTTTCCCCCATTCTCAGCGTCGATCATTTCAATCCGCGGTTGTGTTCACAAAATAAAAACGAAACTACTCAGAAAACATCAAAGACAATCCAAGGACACAAAAATGCGTGGTTTGTGAATTCGACAAATCTGAGCTGTTCGTACAACACCTACGGCAATACTGTATGTACCAATGTGAAAGCAGTAAACTAAGAATCCTATGGAAAAATGCCCTGGTACGAGCGTATACTACGGTAACACCCGAAATTTTGCGATTTGCAATGTCTAAAAAAGCGTTTTTAATCAGTCGCGGACCACCATAAAACAAAATTTATGGTGTTCTTCGTTTTATTTTTAATATTCTGTATTTTCAATTTAGAAAATTTGGGTTGCCAGTTGCCATCATTGACACCTACTAAAAAAAAAAAATATTCCTCGTTGTTCGAACTCGCGAAAAACGCCACTTAGGTATCTATTGACGTGTGTGCAGACTCGTGTTTTCGTTGGAAATCCGCAAGTGAGTTGTGAAATCGCATCGTTTGATTATACGACGCGGGAGTGACCTGTCGCGTCACCTGTTACCAAGTTTTCGAATAGTAAATTGCTATTCTAACAGTTGAATATTGAATATTCCAGCCCTACTCAGTATCCAGCAATTATTGACTCGATTTATGTTATGGGAATAAACTTGCTTTTTCATGTTTTATGTCAATTCTAACGTAAATCGTGCCTTGGCTGATGTTAGGTTTCGCAAAAACGTTTGCAGCCGCAATGAATTTCTGGCTCGTTGCGGACTCATTCAAACGCTCCGCAGACTCATTTGAGACCAGTCCACGCACTCGGATTGGGAAACACTGGCTTATTTTAACCAAACTTGAAAAAAAAACTCGTACAATGATTAATACACATAAGAAATACACCGATCAATATGTTACCTCGAGAAGTATAAAGATGCTGACTGCGATCTGCATCAGTTTGTTGCGTTTGCTTAGAGGAGGTCGGAGTGTTGTTATAAATACGTTTATAATGGTTATAAACAGCTACTGAAAGTACTTTTTTGGCATGACTTTGTCCAACCACATATTTATCAAGATATTCACGAATCTGAAAGAAAAGAATAAAAAATTGGAATAAGTATAGCTTAAAGCTTTTCTAAATATTTATTTTATACGACATGTTTATTTCACTCCAAACAATGCCTGCCCAAGCAGAATTACAAACGAAAATAGTGAGAGCTATGCAAAATTTGTATAGCATAACTACCGTAACCATTGGAATATGATCTCAAAGGGTAGTCAAAAACAATGGCAATATATTATTGCTATAATCAAGTTTCCGCTTTTAATTAACATTTCTATCCTCAAATAAACTAAAGTGTTATATGTAAAAAGCCCATGCTGGCCACTGAACTAGTACAATTCACCTTTTTGGGAGGTGGTGGGGGCCTACTTTCCCATACCCCTTCTTCACTCTTGTGGCCTTCGTGATAATGTCTCTTTTCCTCTTCATGTGTAACTTGAAAAAACTGACCGCATTTTTTGCATTCAACAAATCGCTCGGCTGAAAATAAAATATTTTGGTCCTCTCACAAATGTTACTTGAATCAATCGAGAATGCGATATACTCTCAAAAAGTCATTAGACTAAAAATGGGCACTTCAATATATGGGTTACGTTGATGAACTATATTTTTTAAGATTTGGAATATCAGTGATGAACAAGATCAGAAAAAAATAAATTACAATTGTCTGTTGCTCGTTGAGTTGGATTTCCACATTCTGGGCAGGCAATATGTGGGCCTCCATTCTCAGATGATCCCTTTTTCTTTGATGATCCTTTATCATCCGGCTTTTTACCTCTGGAAGATCCTACTTTACCACCATTTGATTTTAGATCTGATCCTTCAGATGACTCATTATCTTTACTAGAATTTACATCTTCGTTATCATTTCCATCATCAGAAGATGAAGATGAAAGGCCACGAATTGATTCGTTTGTCCAGTTCGTAACGGGTTGTAATATTTGTCCATTGGAATTAAAAACTTGAGACTTATTATAAATGTCCATATTGTTTTCCACGAAGTCTACACTTGAGCAGGTGAAAGGCATGGTTGATGCTGTTAATAATATTCCAGGAGTTTTCAAGAAAATACCTGTAAGATGGAGTTCCGATAAAAAAAAGCAATGAAAAAATAAAAAGACTATATAGAGTAGATAATGCATAAGACTGAGAGTTTATTAATGACAAAGAGATTAGAAGATCTTCCACATCATGCCTCTGGTAATCTTGTATTTATCGGCGTATTGGAAAACGATTTCATCCTTCATAATAAATATTTATCTTACCGTATCTTAAAAAAAAGAATTATCATTTACTTGTATATTTCAGCATGAAATCCTTTTTCTCTGAATCAACTACATATACTACAATAGTTGAATTATTCTGGAAATTGAATATGATACATACCACTATTTAAAACTCTTGCATTCCTCTGATGGCCTGTGTTGACAAGTTTTCCTACACGACTGGTCAAAGAGCATCCTGACCGAAATGACGCTGCCATTATTTAATTTGGCAGGGCAACTTTTATACCTAATTGTGCTATTCGCAAAATGTAGCCTATGACCGTTACAAGCTATACCTGTAAACAGCTTACCTTTATTTTATAAACTAGGCCTAAAAGCTTGAATCGTGAAACCTGAAATCAAAAAATTCATTTTTAAGGTTACCGGTAGTTGCATATTTCAAGAAAATAGCAATTTATGTTTCGCGGAAATTTAGCCAGATCATAGTCAATATAAACGGCTTCTTCATTTATGCCTCACAAGACAGCATTCGAATTGTTGACTCAAAGTGAATACTAGCAGACTAGAGATGGTCTCGTGTAGTTTCGTGACCACACCATCCAAAAATTACATCAGTACGACGACACAATCACATCATAGAGCTTGTTAAAGTGTACCTGATCGCCTGGAATGGCATCTACCCCTACGATGAAGAACTCTCTAACACCAGCGATTTCTCTCATATCGGGATGGTTGAAACGAGAGAAATAGCTTGCTCGATTTCGCAAGTCAGCAAGTGCAGTTTTAAGTATTTTGTGACGTCTAAAGCTGCTGTGAAACATCGTGGTATTTCCAAACCATGGCCGCTATGGCGTCTGACTTTTTAGCTGCCACAAACATATGGCGAGCTGCTGTTACCGCGGCAGCAAATTGATAACCATGGCAGATAAATTTTTGCCGCCATAACCACGGCAGGTTGGCTGTAATGACAGGGCCTGCCCCTGATGGTGACAAATATTGGGTAAGTTAGAACATATTTCCTGTAGAAACAGTTTTTATAGATTTGGGGTTAGAGTTTAAGTAGATGTAATTTCGCGTGATAAACTAAAATCTGGTGCATGACTTTGTGAATATACTGGTAATATCGCCATAAACCATGGCAAGATCTGCCACCGTTTCGTTCGTGGCAGGACAGTACAGCATACTATACAGATCGAGCCACATTGTCTCGTTTTAGCGAAACCTATTTTACCGATGATCAAACATCCCTTCTTTGGGACAGGTCTGGACATTGTTGTCCTTCAATATCGGTAAAAATACAGTATAATGGAGTTGGGAAAAATACTACAAAGAAGCGCAATCTAAAAACGTCATCATTGAATTCCTCGGGAAAAAATAATCCAATTTACCAAAGGAAAAAAATTTTACCGTGGCATTCAAGAGTTTTTAGGAAAAAACAGCATTTTTGGCCACATGATAGCCACGATTAATTTAGATTATTATTGAGACAAGCATGGCGCGATATGACTTAATTGCCGTCGTGCCAGACGCCCCTCGTTTGTGAGACACATAGAGTGTTTGTTTTATTGAACCAAATGGAGGGAAATTCTTGGAATTTGGATAGTGTGCCCTACTGCAGGAGCTGCCATAAGGTGGTAAAACGACATCCTCGAATTCCCCGGAAGAATAATCTGATTTACCGGAGGAAAAAATTTCTACCATGGCATTCGAGAGTTTTTAGCAAAAAACAGCAATTTCGATCACATGACAGCTGCAAATTATTTAGATGATTATCGAGCCAAGTCCGGCGTGATATGACGCATCTGCTATTGTGCCAGACGCCCCTCGTTTGTGAGACACATAGAATAGTTGTTTTCAAATGCTGAAACGGCAGGACATTCTTGGAATATGGAAAGCTATTTCTCTCGTTTTCTCGTCGCAACGATCACTATAGGAGAGAGATCGCCGGCTTTAGCAAGTTCTTATCGGCGGCGCAGATGCCATTTCGGGCGATCGTAATTTTACTTTGGCAATCCCTATGACGTGATGGTGACGTCGTAGTGACGTAATTTTTGGATGGCATAGTCAAGTGAGGGTTAGGAATAACATATGCAAAAATCGTTATGCTACGCCCACTGGAAGTACTTGTGGTACTAAACTATACTAGACCCGGGTCTGGTATAGTTTAGTACCACATGTACTTCTAGTTGACCTGGCTCAACAATTTTTGCATATGTCAATCCTAACCCTCACCTGACTACGTCACCGAAAAATTACGTCATTTCGACGTCACAGTGACGTAATGAGGCCCACCGAAGTATGCGGATGGTCGTCCAAAACGCGCAGACGATCACCCGAAATCGAGCAATCAATTTCTCCCGTTTTCTCGTCACAACGATCATGATAGGAGAGAGATCGCAAGCTTTAGCAAGTTTGTTATCGGCGGCGCAGATGTGATTTCAGGCGATCGTAATTATACTTTGGCAATCTCTATGACGTGATGGTGACGTCGTAGTGACTTAATTTTTGGATGGCATAGTCAGGTGGGGGTTAGGAATAGCATATGCAAAATTCGTTATGCTACGCCCACCGGAAGTACGGTACTTGTGGTACTAAACTATACTAGACCCGACTACAGGTACTGATAGTTTCATCACACAGTCACACTACAGTGTAGTAACGTTACACCACTATTTTCATGAAATCCGCAGTGCGGTGCCAGTGTTTAGAAGTCTTTCGCCGAACGACCGTTCAAGCATTTAAATATTTGGGTCTGTGTATTTTAAGATGCCAAGGCTGCAGCGTAAGGTAGAAAAAATTCTCTGCTGTTGAAACAGAACTTTATATACCGGTACAGATATAAGACGGAGCGAAATACGTTATCGGATTTATACATGTTACTACCGTCTACCATTACCTAGTTGAACTAAGAACTGCCATATCAAAACAAAGCTTTGTTAAAGAAAATGTCCGTCTGGCGGCAGAAATTTTAGTAGATAAGTGGATCTCATCCAACCTTTGACCTCAAGAAGATCCTCAGACGGTAATGTAATCAGAGCCATTTACAACAAGGAATGTTTCCCCGATCATCGAGTCCTATCTGTATTTACGTAATAGCTGCCAATTGGCAATTGGATAGTATTTACATATTAAGGATATGATCGGATAGGTTTTACATATTTATCACAGGAAGAGTAAAACCGCCAAGACGTCTAACTCATATGACGAAACACGGCCTCAGAAAATAAGCAAAACAAATGTGATTAGTAGGTAATAGAAGAGCGCATTTGCTTCATAAAGTTAGGTTGTAAACTTTGAAATTCAGTTGAAAAGCTTTGAAGGGTGTGAGGATGAGACGGTCTGTAGAATGACGGTTTCGGTGATGACTGGTAAATGACTTCGGTCCTATCCTACATTTGGAGTTTGTTTTTGGTCTGTCGCGACTGGGTGAAACATTTTGATTTGCTAAATATGCATTGTTAGATTTGACCTCTCACGCCTCACACTTCCGTCCATTTATATTTCTCTATTATATTAACAATCCCAGACGAATTATGTTCTATCTTTATTATTAGGCTAACCATATATCTGGAACAAAAAACAGGGACAGTGCGGATCGGACCAACTTTGGCTAAGTAATATCTGAAACTTCTATCATATCTTTGCGAGTAGATACCGGGCATTAAATTGCCTATAAATTAATTCGTACGCGCAGTCGCCAAACATTATTTATAAAAGCAGTCAATTATTTGAACATTTCAATAATCGACCTAAGAGAGACACGGAATGATGTTGAATTCAGTTTTGAGGTAAATGAGCCCCAAATTCTATGCCGGTCTCGTAAAGGCTCGTTTCAGTTTTATTTTTGAGTTTCAAAAAAACACTATTGCCCCTCGTCTTTCTACGCGTCTATTTGGCATTTTGATAATTTATCGACTGGTCAGTTAATTTTGTGTGTCAAATTATCGCAATTAACTGAATTATAATACCTATGACACAACAAAACAGCAGTTCTCTCTCTCTCTCTGTTTACTAGTGAATCAGAGATAAATTTGATGCTTCTGTTAAAAAAATAAATTCGTGATAATATTATGTGAAAAAATTGTTTTTGACTGCTACGCTACATAACCGGGACATTTAAGTCTACCGGGCGGGACGCCGGGACAGCTTGTCAAAACCGGGACGTATGGTAAGCCTATTTATTATCCTAATTTTCTGTTGACAGTGACTCATTAGTGCGCCATAGTGAAGACACAGGGAGTGGAACCTTTTCCGCGGGTTTTGAGATAACGCTTATCTGATTCTTTGTTCTAAACGGCACTGTGGACTTGTGAAAGAGTCGTTTAATATCGAGATTTGCCTTGGATTTATTTTACCATAGGGGTGCGCGTTTCGTGATATCTGTCATGTAAATTTAGTTTAGTTAGGTCCTTTATAGTATTGGCTTATATTGCTTGTTATTATGAATAGTAATTTATCATTATTTCATTGCTTATTTATAGTGCACCCGTGTCGTTATAAATTAGTTTTATCGTTGGTCTTCAAGTTTCTGTGCTGTCGCAATATTTTACTCATATGTGGAGATTGATGAATACAGTTTGTTTTCTAAGGATCTCGTTGCCTCTTTACTACTTTGATTGTGCAGTTACCAGAAGCTGGGAGATTGCGCATAATTCTTCAATACCGGTTCGGGTGCAAATACGACTTCACTACAACAACGTTGAGTGGATTAGAATTCACGTTCCAACTTTACATGCATGATTTTGATTTACCTTATGTTCACGATTTTATATATATTTAAACTATGTTGTAATTTTGATCAATTCATTACAAAAATCTAGTGAAATCGATTCTCTAACAATTATCGGACCTCCTGAAGTATGCGCACCAATATGGAGCACAACCTGAACTCAGGTTGTGTACCAGGTAAGGGTTCAGGTTGCAGGACATCTTGGTGTGCATATTTCAGGAGTACCCAATTATCAGCAACTATACAGGTTAACCCAATAGTTAAAATACAAAATATACCGGATGGTGAAAATTATAGATTTTGCGACGTGTTACGCTGATAAAGATTAAGTATGATTTTAAACCCACACGATACATGTCACTAGCAGTAGCGTGAGGGAAGTGCAGATATATGGCAATTCACCAGGAGAAGTCAAGTTGGATTCGAATTCCACAAGGTAAACTAATTATAGGTATATTTTGATTTTTCCGCAAAAGAATCATACACAAAACACAAACAATGAACACACATAAGATTGGGAAAATCGTGGAAACTGGCAAAACCTTTATAAAACGTTTAATACATATAAATATACATGCGCCAGAATTACCCACATTCAACACACAAACATATATTCAAAATAAAAAAAGACAAAGACACGAACGGTATCGTTCGGGCGTCAAACGTGTG